TGGGACAGCCCCTTGGCACGGCACGAGGGCACAGCCCCTCCGCAACGCCACTCCTGACGTGGGACAGGGGCACCCGGCACTCCAAGCCCCCCTGGCATGGCATCCCCGGGACGGCACCCCCGCGGCATGGTCTCGCCCCATGGCATGGCACTGGGGAGCAGCAACCCCTCCGAGTCGACCTGAGCGTCCAGCAGAGCACAGACGTCCTGCCCAGCACCAGGGCACATTACCCATCCTGGCACAGCAAGCCCGAGCCCCCTGCAACCAGCACCCCTCAGCACAGCCCCGTTTAGCAGTGGCCACCCCAGCCTGGCCGCCTGGATRGCAATCCCCCCTAGCACCACCCTCAGGCACAGCACCCTCTGTTCTGCAGCCCTTGGATCCCTCGGGCGCTGCATCCTCCCCACAGCTGGCCCCGGTGCACTGCATTTCTTGGGCATGTGCAGGAATTGGGGACCCACTGCTGCCCATCCTCCCTGTGCCCCATGGGTTCCCCGCCATGGCAGGGTTTGCCCAGGAGGTGCCCCCCACTCAGCCCGGCACCCCCAGCCCTGTGTGTTCTGTCCTGCACTCTCTGGTCACGGTGGCTCTGAAGAAGCCCGAGCTGTCCCCACATGCCAGGGGTGACACAGCCCTGCCAGCCCCAGTGACAGGGAGGCACCGCRTCCCAGCAAGCAGCACCATGGTGGTCACCCATGCTGGGGACAGGAGACCATGGGACTGGGGATGAGGCCAGGTCAGGCTGGGGTGCAGCGTGGCAGGGCGGCAGCCAGCGCTGCACAGAGCTAATGTCATTAGTGGCTCTCCATGACCGATTAACGAGATGCTCTAATGCCTTCAAGAGCTTAAGTGGGTGCGAAGGCAGGCGGGCAGCGTGGCTCTCCCTGCGCTTTGCTCCATCCCTCACTGCTGGCACTGGCAGTGCCCAGGCCTCCGCCAGGCATCGTGGGGATCTGGCCGTCCCTGTCTTGTCCCCTGTGTGCCCTGTGCTGGTGCTCCTCTGGTTGTCCTGCTGTCCCCACACATGTGGAGGCCATTGGTGACACTGGGACCAGGTGCCCACCATGCACCCGGGGATGCATCCAGCATTGCACATAGTGTCATTCCCGATGTGTGCACATCCCACTGGAGGGACGGGTGGAGGGTCTGGCAGAGGGACCCACTCCGGGTGCCCAGTGCCGGCAGCAGCCCTGGAGCCAAGACACCCCCTCCTCGAGGCTCGCTCATTATTACTAATGGCATTTGCATGGAAACAGGATGTTTTTACTCCACGCGGCTCCATCTGCTCCTGCTGAAGTCACCGCCGCCGCCGCACGTGAGCTMCCCGGGAGCTGCCATGGGAACGATGGTGGAGCGCCGGGCCGGGCAGGATGGCCCCACGGGAGCCACGGGCACCCTCRCCCTCCTGCCCACCTGGCAACGCGGGCACGGCGTGCCTGGGAATGCCRCTCCAGGGGATGTAGTGTTGGCAGTGCCGGGGCTGCCGCGGCCAGCAGCGTTCTCAGTCACCTCGGTGGGCAGCGGGCTCAGGACCCCAGCACAGCGCCCTCCCCGTCTGCTCCTCGCCCTGCTCTCCAGCTTCCCRCACCACCCGCACAGCTTCCCGCTCCAGCTCCGGATGCCGTGGGCACTCCATGGGCCCTTGGCATGTCCTCCTGTGCCCAGCACACGGAGCTGCGGCGAGCGCCCAGGTGGCCCCCAGGGCTGCGTGCTGCTGTCACTGTGTCCCGCGGTGCCACCGCACAGAGCGCGGCGGGACGTGCCCAGCTGCGCGGCGTCCCCGCACGTGCCTCCTTCCCGCGGCCCCACGCTGCCAGGGCCAGCGCCGGGAAGCGGCTGAGCGTGCTGACGAGTTAATAGACTCTAATTAATACAGATTGGGGAGATCACTTCCAATTCCGCTCGCTCTCCCTCTTGCAGAGGAGGAGCTGAGGGGGTGGAAGAGTCGGCTCCGGCTCCGCAGCCCCGGTCTGCACCACCACATGGGCCACCCAGTGGCTACCACTGGGGCATCTCACCCTGCTTCGGGCTGGCACAGGGACATGGTGGCACTGCGGTCACCCCGCAACACACTGCAGTGGGGAGGGGACGGGCGCCAGGCCCAGCGCTGGCCCTGGGGCATCAGTACCACAACCATGGCACAGCCCCCGGGGGGGGATGCCCCACGCGCTGGCCCCACAGGGCGCTGTAAATGGATTATTACTTGGAGTAATTAAGACGGAATTAAAAATTAATTCTTTTCTCAGGAGCGCCGTGGTCCGGGCTGAGCCACGTGCTGCAGCCTCTTGTGTGGCTTTTTCTGGAAGAAATCGGATCGGGGTGGAGGGAGGTACCAGGGGGCCTACCCRGGCACCAGGACCCGCTGGCCGTGTCCACGGGTGAGGATGGTCCTGCCGCTGCCCGGACATCGCGGGGATGGCCAGCACCGAGATTTTCTCAACTCGCATCAAATATTTAAATGGGTATTTGAGCTCATGTATAATGGATCGCCCTCACGCTTCCTCCTCATCCATTTGCGGTATTTAAGGAAGTAGAATATTAAACACCATTGTATTAGCAAAAGTGCCGCCTGCTTAATTGAGTTACAAACGGGGAAGGTGCCAATGAGTAAACAATGCATAATGCATGGCCCGGCATGGCACAACGCGGCGCGGCGGCCCCTGTGCCCACCTGGCTGCAGGGCTGCCCGCAGGATGCCACCCTGGAACGGCCCTCGGCACGGCCGGGTGCAGCCGGCATGGATGGGACAAGGGGCAGAGCGCGGCACCTCCCAGCCTCATCCTGCACAGGGAAGCCGCACACATTGGGGAGCAGCCAGCACCCGCTCCATGCGCTCCATGTGCAGGGATGCACYCGGCTCCAGCGCCCGCCACCCCCAGGCTGGCTGCTGCCTGGGGCGCTTGGAAACGGAGCCAGGCACCCGAGAAGGAACGCAGCCCTTGCATAGACAGATTATGAAAATGGAAAGTAAATAAATATGGATGTTGAGGACCTAATTCTGATAAGAGGATTTTCAAAATTAGCCATTTGCAAGAGTAGATTAACTACGTTTAATGCTGGGGGTGGGAAGCGCTCTATTAAGATACACAGCAAAGCCCGGCTCGGCCCAGCCCTCTGCTCCAGCCTCCAGTACCCACCGAAGCGCTCGCTGCTTTTTAAGGACTAATTGGCTGCTCGTGGGCTGGTGAACAGGTCAGTGCCAGGCTGGCTCCGGTGCGAGGGGCACAGCCCCCGTGCCAGCCCTCCAGGCACAGAGAGATGCAACCAGGCATGACGCCAAGGCAAGAAGCAACCTCTGGGCACGTGTGACCCCCTAGCATCCCTGGGGACACGGAGGAGCTGGAGGCCAAGCCCCACTGCCCACCGCTGTGCCCATATGGGGGCTGAATGGTGGGCAGAGCCGCTGGCAGGGCCGCGCGTGCAGCCTGGTGCCYGTTGGCATGCAGCAGGCCCGGGGCTGTGCGGCACCGTTGTGCCTGCCAGGGTGGGAGCAGGGGCTGCAGGGGCCCCGGACACTTTTTGCATCCTGTCTGGCATTTTCTATCCAGGCAGCCAAGCAGAAACCTCATTACAGGCCGGCACAAAGGCAGCRTCCCCGCGCGCGGCTGGGAGCGGGCGCGGATGCGGATTTGGCGGGCACGGCGGGGAGCAGCGGGCGGCTGCTGGGGTTGGTGAAAGGGCTACGTGGGGCCAGTGCTCCCTGTAGCCCTCCAGCTGCCCTGCAATGCCCTCCTCTCCCCTGCAGCCTCGGCATTGCCCAGGGCCACTGCTGTGCTCTGAACCCACCTGCACGTCCTGCAATGTCCTCACCCTCCTTTCAGTGCCCCTGCAACTCCCCGCAGCTCTTGGCGCTGCAGGGGGGACGAGGGACTCGCTGCTGCAGCCATGATGCCCACGTGCGGCCAGGAGCCCAGCGCAGGGGCTGGGGGCAGCACGGGGCTGGCAGGGGGTTCCYGGGCAGCCCTGGTGCCCAGTGCAGCCCACGCTCCCGCAGCAGCAGCCAAAGGYAATTAATTAGCGGGGCGGCGGGGGAGCAGCCGGCAGCGCTGCTCTGGGATCGATGGGCGCATCGACCAGCTGGGAAACACCAGCCCTCCTGTAAGGRGCCACGGGGCCGGGCGGGCGGCAGGGAGCCGGTACCCCCCAGTCCCAGAGCCTGCTGTTTGCAGCTGGGGGGGCTGCCAGCCGCYGGGGTCCAATGCTGGAGCCCCGCCAGCCCCGTGCCAGGGGACATGGGGGTGCCTGGGGTTGCGGCAGGGCACGGCGCTAGGAGGGGTGCGCGGGCGTGCGCGGCCCTGCCCAACACGTGCCCGGCGCCCCGGCAGCGCTGGCTGCGGCTGCTCCCCGGAGCCGGGAGAGCGGCAGGTCCCTGCGCCGTGCCGCAGGGAAGCAGCAGCGCTAATGGAGCCCCCCCCTCGCAGGCTGTTCAGATGCATTTGTGTCAAGGGGAGACGTGGGCCGGTCCCTTCAATCCCGTGGCATCGGCTGGGGGAGCGGAGGGCTGGGGCATGGGCTGCAGAGCCGGGCACGGTGCCGGCTGCGCCGTGCCCCTGGGCAGTGCCGCTCTGCAGGTGCATGGTGACACCAGGGCTGTGCTGGCCGCCTGGCACCGCGTGGGCACCGCTCCAGCAGGGACAAGCTCGTGCTGCCAGGGTGCACCCAAGCCAGGCGCGGGGCCAGCGGAGCAAACCCCGAGGGTCCCGTGGCTGGAGGGGCGCAGGGAGGGCGCAGGGACAGCTCTGCAGCAGTGGGGCTCTTTGCAGCCCTGCAGCGATTCCTGTAGGCCCATGGCCGTGCTGCCTCTGTCCCCATCCTGGTCCCTGTCCCTATCCCACCTGCCCACTCCTCCCGCCTGTCTCTGTCAAGCTGGCAAGTGCCAGCCTGTCCCTGCGGGGAAGGAGAGTGCTCAGCCGTGTTGCAGGAGCGTGGCTGCCAGCCTCACGCAGATGAGAAGTGACAGCGAGGGACCCTTCTCAGGTACAGGTTCCCTGCAGTGCGGGACACAGAGATGCTGTTCCCCTCTCCCCCCACTKGCAATGGGAATGGCCCTGCAGGCACTTAACCCTTTCCCCACCATGCAAACCCTGCTCTGCAAACCCTGCCGTTCCCATCCCGCTGCGCAAATGCTGCTGTGCTACCCGCTACTGCACAACCTGCCGTGCAAACCTTGCTGTGCAAACCCTGCTGTGCAAACCCTGCTGTGCAGCCCTGGCCATGGGGCTGGAGCAGCCGAGCAACACGAGTGCCGCTGCTGCTGCCTGCCCTACACGCACTGCAGGGAGCCGGCGCCTGGGAGTAGGACACCCGGGTCCAGCCCTGCTGCTGCTGCTGCCCCCGGTGTCTCCTGTCACCCTCTCCTGGGCTGTGGGTCTGCAGGAAGGGCAGCGGTGCAGGGAGCCYGAGGGGTCGGCAGGCCCCTCTCCGCCCACGTCTCCAGAGCTGACTGCCATCTCCAGGGAGTTGTCATGGGAACGGTGCGCCCGGTACCCCTCACCAAGGAGACGGGATGCTGCTGATGGTCCGGGTGCTGGAGCTGCCCAGCGTGCCCACATTGCACTCATTGGGGCCTGTGGCATCCCCGGGCACCTGGGTGGGTGGAAGGGACAGTGAGGTGGGCCCAGCGGTGCCACAGGGAGCAGGAGCTGGGGAACAACGGGGCCAGAGGGGCCCGGGCACCGCTGCTGGTGCGGGCAGGATCCACCATCGAGCAGGGGGCACCAGCCGGGCCTGGGCCCCATGCCACCACTGCGCTGCCCGCCCGTGCCCCGCTGAGCCGGAGCTGCCTCTGCTTCCCATCCCACATGCCTGGTGGTGGAACCAGCAGGCCCTTCCGCCATCTCTTTGGGGGATTTTAACACTGTGGATGCAGCAGGACAGGTACCATGTGCTGGGTCTCCTCTGTGCCTGGTAGCCTCCAGCCAGGAGCTGGGGTGCTCCACGCAGAAGCAGGAGTGGGTCACAGCAGAATGACCACCCCATCCCCACTGTGTCCTGCAGCCCCTCATCCCCATCCCTGCTGTACCCTGGCCCTGCATCTCTGTCCCACCTGGACCTCCCAGTTCCCCCCTGCAGCCCATGCTGCAGAAAGCACGGCGTCTGCTGCCATCCACCCCTCCCCGTTGATTAGTATTAATTTTTAATCATGGCTGCTGACAGAGCTGCCAGCTCGGCTGCCAGCTGGGATGGCTTCCCGGCAGCAGAGAGGCCAGGGCAGCCCTGGCACTGCCGTGCTCAGTGGGCAGCTCCTGGCACGGCTGCATCGGCACAGGCTCTGGGGGGCTCCCACCTCGCAGGCCCTCCRCCCTCTGGACCGGGATGGGGGGCATCGCACCCCCCCGGCATCCTGCATCCTCTGGCATGGCTCAGCTGCAGGGCTCCCCAGTGCCCATAAAGCTGCTGGAGATAAATGGCTCCTATTACTTTTCTGATCAAATGCAGTCCCTGCTACGGCTTCCTGTGAGTGGCAATAAASAGTGCCGGTGTACAGCAGCACGTGCCACCCTCGCTGCCAAGGTAGCCCTGGTCCCCCTGCATGCCAGGGCCCAGGAGCACAGCCCCGGACACTCATAGCCCCAAGGGCATTACAGCCATGTGCACCCACGGACCCTGAGGGCATGGTCCCCACTGCACCCCTGTCCCTCCAACACCCAGTCCAAGTAAAAGGGGAGACTTGAGGGGGTGAATGGCTGGCAGCTGCCTTGTTGGCATTAGCCTGGGGGCACGTGGCTAGTGGAGCCCCCCTCCCTGTGCCTGCAGGGGTGACAAGGAGCTCCCCATGCCCGTGCAGACAGGCCTTGCAGCCTTGCTGCCCCAGGCACGGCCCCCGGGGAGGCTGGGGGCCTTGGCAGGCAGTGCCCCCCAAGGTGGGGGAGCCTGTGCTGGGCATGGGGACAGGTTCAGGCTGCAGAAGGTCTGGCAGCCCCCGCTCCCCCTGACTGCCGGGGGCACAAACGAGGGGCAATTATCGATACATTAACGGGAGCGGGGTCAGCAYCTCCAACCCTTCTCCTGCTCCATCCCGGCTGGTTGGGCACCGTGTGCCAAGGGCCCGGCTCCTGCCGCGCGTGGGGGCGGCTCCGGCACCCGCTGCGGCAGCAGCCCCGCCGAGCCGGAGGAGGCCAAGGCCGGGCCAGCGGCACCATCGCGTGGCGAGCGGCCGCCAGTGCAGGCGAGTGCCCGGGCTGCGCCCTGCCCCGCTGCTGCAGCCCGCACCGACCCCTGCCCACCATCGACCCCTGCCCACSCGGTACCACTGCCACAGACCCCTGCCCACCCGGTGCCAGCGCGGAGCCCCGGGCAGGGGAGGCTCTGCAGCCCCCACCCCACAGCAGGGAGCGGGACCYGCTGCGCCGGGTACTGTCCCCAGCTGGGCAGCCATCCCCGACACATGGGCCGGGTGGTGGGTGCCCCCCATGGGTGCTACTGCTATTTTGGGGCCCATGCAGCAGGTTCCTGTGCAGTTCCCTTTCCCAGGGCTCACAGAGCAGAAGGGAAAAGAGTGCTAGTGTGCTGTGCATATGGGGCAAGACCCACAGCAGCCCCTAGAGAGAGGGCTTGGGGACACAAGCTGCTGCACTGTGCCACCTTGCTCCCACCTTCCTTCTCTGGCCGTCTTGCACCAGGTGCTGGGGGTCACACCAGACCCRGAGCCTTGGGGCAACTGCCCAGGAGGAGCCACAGGAGCTGCTGGGGCTGCCCTGAGGCCAGGCCAGCCCCCCAGCCAGCCCTGAGGCTGCACAGCCCCCAGAGCATCACCCAGGGCAAGAGGGGCCTGCAGGGTCCCAGGCACCCGCAGTCACTTGGTGCCTCCAGTGCTGGTACCAGCAGGGACGTAGCTGTGACTGTCCCCATGCAGGAGGGCCCAGCAYTGAGGCAGCTCTGACAATCCCACGTGCCAGCAGCGGCCACAAGCAGGAGTAGCACCTAGTGCAGGGCCAGAACAACAGCAGACAGAGGGACACTTAGGTCGTAGATGCTCTGGACAAGAGAGGCTCAGGGTTCGAGAGGTGGGTGTGATGCCCCAAAGGAGGGCACAAACCCTTGTGCTGGGACTGGAGATGTTCAAGTGCTTGGAGAGGGAATGGGCTGGAGGCATTCAAGGAGAAGGACCACCAGGAAGGATATCAAAGGACACAGAACTGCAGTGGGAATGGCCATGAAAGGAAGGGAACAGGAGGAGCTGCAGCTAAAGGAGACATTAGACTCAGTGTTGGATGTGCTGGGAACAAGGGCCTCTTGCCCTGCTGGCCTGGCAGCAATAACCCCTGGGCTGTAAGTGCCGGCAGTGCCCCCTCCTCACCCCCTGGGGAGCGGTGGGGGTGCAGGTGAAGGCAGTCCGAGTCCAGCAGCACACAGGGCTCCTGCTACACCTGGACACATGCAAGGATGCCCAGGGCATCACCAAGATGGGCCAAGCTGGCGCACACCTCGGCAAGGAGTCCTGCAGTCCCTGAAACCAGCTCCCAAGGCCACGGGGACTGAGGCCAGCAAGGGAGCCATGGACTCTGCATCCTCTCACCTCCTGCCTCAGCTCAGGGGGCCCAGGCTGGAACCATGCTTGAACCAGGGGAGGACTGTCAGCATCCTCGGAGACCACCCTGAGGCTTCCCCACCCAAGGGTGCCCCTRCAGAACCCAGTGCCAGGGCTGTGGCAGCAGAATGCTCAGCACAAGGACAGGCACCCACCCAAACCTGGAGCTCTGCTCCCAGCTCCACTCACGCAGCCGGGCAGCTCATGGTCACCCTCTTGTGAGGCTTCCCCATTCCCCCCCAAGCCAGAGCCAGCCCTCCCCCCACGCACCAGCACCCCCAGGACACAACCACCACCTTCAGCTGCAGTCATTTCATTGCAGGGTTTCACAGGACCCCCAGCTCCCCCCACAGTCACACCACAAACTTGTTCTTGGTGAGGGAGCCGCTCTTGGTGGCCGTGTCCGCGTGGGCCTGGTACCCAATAGCCACCTTTGGTGACAGGCCCAGGTGCTCCTTGTAGACACGCCTGGAGGAGAGAGGGGGCTATAGGGACCAGGTAGGGGTGTTTGCCCCTGCCCTTTCCCTGCTGGGGGACAGGACACCCAAAACACCAGCCCCAACCAGCAACTGGAGACAACGGAGGAGAACAAGCTCATGGTTAAAAAAAAAAAAAAAAAAATGAAGAAATGACCCTGCTGTTATGGGGCTCATCCTTCACAGGGATGGCTCATGCCAAGACCCCACTCCACTCCCAGCCCAACAAGGATCTGTGACCGTTGTGTGGAGGGAGCCGCAGGGGCCGCGTTACCCGATGTGGGTGACCCCTTCGCGGTTCTCCGCCTCGCGGGTCCAGATGGCGATCTTGTCGCCCTTGGCGCGGATGTTGATGACGGCCCCGCACACCTCATCACTGTACTCGTCAAACATCTCCCCGATGAGGCACAGCAGCTGCCCAGAGAAGAAGGCGAGTCCAGGATGGTCCCTGCCACCCATGGCTCAGAGCTACCACGAGGGAAGCGCCACCACCTTGGCCCCACCACAGGACAAGGACACTCACAGTCTCCAGCCAGAAGCGGTCCAGCTCCGTGTGCCTCTGCTGCTTGGCCAGTGTGATGAGCCAGCGCCCACCACGCTTGTTCTGGCTGTCCTCCCACATGGGCTCGATCCCGTCCTGGGGATGGGCAGGATGGCAGTGCCAGAGCCAGCTCGGGCACGAGCATAGCCCTGCTCAGCCGGGCTTCACCTCCCGCATTGTGGCCAGGGCACCCTGGGCCACCTCTGCAGGGACCTGGCATCTCTCCAGCCGGATGAGCGACATGGGGAGAAGGGTGGTGAGGAATGGGGACTGCAGCAGGGAGGAATGGCACCCAGGGTGGCTCCCAGGAGAGGAGGAGCTGCGGCGCTCGGGGTCCCACCTTGAAGAGAGAGTAGTCACAGCCYGACGTGAGCTTGCTGGCGAGCTGGATGTGACTGTACAGGCTGCACCGGGGCAGAGACAAGACAAGCAGGTGAGAATGGGTGTTTTGAGACCCCTGGCACCCCACTACAGCCCACCCCSCAGCACCAGGCTCTCCTCATAGCACAGCAGCACCCTGCAAGGCGCAGAGGCCCCAGCACCCCTGTCCACACRACCTGTCCTGCGGGACACTCACGCCCAGAAGTCCTCCACAGTGCTGAATTTGGTGACGAGGCGCAGGTTCGCCTGCCACATCTTGCTCTTGTCATTCTTAAAGAACCACAGTGCCCACCTGRGAAGGGAAGGAGGTCAGCGATGCCCCGCAACCAGAGCCCCCTCCTCGTGTCAGGGCCATTCTCTGGGGCTGAGCCCCAGCCATGCGGCCCAGGTCCCTGTACCTGTTCTGCAGCGGGTGCTTGCCCAGGCTCTCGGCCAGGAGCAGCTCTTGCTGCTGAGCCCGCCGCCGCCTCTGCTCCTCCTGCCTCCTCTGGGGAAGGAGAGACAGCCCCATGGAGCCCCCCAGCCTCCCACTGCAYTGACAGGCAGGGCACAGGGACACTAGGATGACCTGAGCCTGCCAGCTGCCCCCAAACAGGCTCTGCAGCCAGGAGGACACAGCCCCCAGGGCAGGAACCCACCTGCTCCCCTGTCGCCATYGTGGCCAGCACAGGCCCTCCAGCTGCCCACGGCTCTTAAGGGCTCACAGGCGGGCGGGACGAGCGGCCAGCCCCAGCACACCTGGCCCAGGCATCCCGGGAAGGGGGCAACGAGCCAAGCAGGGGCCTGGGCTCCCTGGGGAGCCCTCCCTCCTCTGCTGGGGGGGGACAAGGGACATGGGTGTGGGAAGAGAGGGACAGATGGGGACAGTGTCGGGTGGGGCTGAACGGGAATGGTAAAAGATGGGGCATCTTTTGTGAGATGTTATGGAGACACAGTGGGATAGCATCAGAATGGGATGGGGAGCATGGAGTGAAGACAGAGTGAGATTGGATCAGGGTGGAATGGGATGCAGAGATGGTGGTCATCATAATGGGATGAAGACAGGGTTGGATGGAATGGAAACAGGATGGGATGAGAAGGGATTAGGTGGGTCATGATGTGATGCAGATGGTTGGTGTGGGAACAAGGTGGGATGGTAACCAAGGATGGAGGATCAGGATGGGATGGGATTGGGATGGGAYTGGGAAGGGATGGGATAGGGATGAGATGTGGTGTGGAAGAGATATAATGTGGAGGGGAGGGAATCAGGATGAAATGAGATTAGAACAGGATGGGATGCTATAGGCACAGGGATGAGATCAGGATGTGATGGTGGAAGAGATGGGATACAGGGAGAGGGTGAGRTTAGGATAGTTTGCAATGAGGTGGGGACAGGATGGGATGTGATGGGAAGGGATGGGATATGGAGAAGGATTAGGATGGGATCTGAGGGGATGAGCAGAGGGATGCAGTGAGGATGGGGAAGGGATGGAACGGGGGGCGGGATCAGGGCAGGTTGCGAGGGGATGGGGACGCTCGCGGGGGAGCGGGGCAGAGCGGCGCCCGTGGGAACCCGCCCGCGGGGCCCCCCCC